GGGGTTCAGAGGGTGAAACAAAATTGTTAAAACATTCTCCAGCTTCTGTTGTGATGATTTTCTGCTTGTCTTTATGTGATATTCCTTGCAGTTAAGAGACCAACATCACATCACACAAGCAATTTCTATTTTGGGCTACGGGACATTCACCATTCTATTTATATAGACATTTAGTAGAGCAACTGATTAAGAAGTCATTGGAGAAAACAAGTTCTGGGTAAATTGATAATGAAAACGATCATTAATAGCAGCCCCATGAATTCTTTTTTGGCACCCAACTGATGTTATTGATGAACTGTGGCAAAACTGCATATTCACAGGCATCACAGTATTTTTTTGCAAGACAAACTCATAGAGCTGTAATGCAATTTAAAAGCAGCCAACTAAACAGGAGTTTTGGTTGCTTGGCAACCCTGGATCCTGAAAATAAAGTGTTGCCAAAGAAAAGGAAACACCATTAGTTTAGTGTGGTGGTTGGATCCGTTTTCTGTCATGCTTCAGCTCTGATTAAATGTAAGCAAGCTATTTCTGATCCTGGCAGTTCTCAGTGACGATCCTCATGTCATGATGTACCTCTTCCTGTTGAAGGCAGTGGCTTCCCTGATAACAGCACCACATGTCGCAAGGCACATGGTGTTCCCTGCGCCCAAATATGATGAAATTTGATGTGGGGCAGATAAATTAGGTTTTTGAGATTAAGATTTTCACCGTTCTCTTCAAGCAATAAGGTCACAGTAATCCTCAGCAGGCGTGATAAGATGCAACCTTAACATCAGCCCTGGATGGTTAGAATCAGAAAAAAGCAATCAAATCATTTTTCCAGAATCTGTATGCTGACATTTGTATTTTACCCGCAGTCTGATTAATTAGCAGCAAAGTCTTAGCAGTCAGTTCATCTGTGTCTGTTCATTCCAGACGAGCTCCTCTGGCTCCGGTGGCCGTCACGTGACACACCTCCACGTCAGCGCCCAGTTTCTGCAGCTCATCCAGCCAGATCTGTTGCTTTTGTGACAACCGGTCATTGGGCCCCTTCACCTCCACCAGCTATAACCACATGACATCCAGTATCACTGCCTTTGAAATGATCAGGTAACACAGAGCACCTGAACATATAGGAAAAGGAAAATCTTTACTTCAAACAGTGAGGCTGGTCTGTGATCAGATGATCTCACCTTGTAGCTGCTGTTTGAGGTGTTCCACACAACAAGATCAGGTAAACCTCCTCGGCAGTGTCGGTAGTCTTTTGCCATTCGTGCTATTACTCCCCCTAAGAAGGCTCCACCCAGGCACGCAACAAGAGACTGCAAATATCAGTGTAGAATTGTTAGTGCGATGCTGATACCTACAGTAACACATTCAGACATTTAAATCAGCGTATCGAAGCATATTTGGTAATATCTGTTCCACCGCATTTACACATAATGTGAGAAACACAGGCCTGTACATCTGATAACGCTGAATATCAATTGTTAGAAATGGCAGTAAATACCTGGGCCTGCTGGAGTGATGAGAAACGTTCCCAGTTAACCAGTGAACACACTCTACCCTCCTGAGAATTCCAGACATCTTCCAACATGCTATTCAGTGTCTCCACAGACGCCTCAGTAAGCAACTGAACACGAGACGCAATCGCTTCCTTTCTGTTCTCGTAGAAACAGTCGGTGTAAAAATCCAACGGACACGTCTGCAAGAGGAAACAAACATGAGTTAAACTTTCATGGCATTTCGAACAAAACCTAAATAAAGCTCACATTACCTGGTAAGGGTTTCGGAATACATCTGGAATACCCTCCATAAAAATGATGTCCCACAGCAGAAGACCAAATAATGTTGAGAATGTCGAGCCCTCTCCGTGGATCCCTGTTATACCAAAAAAATATATACATACATGTAAATATTATTTAGTAACCACTGTATATCCAATAATTTAATCACTGATATGTTGCCTACCTTGGTCAAAACCTTGTTGTCGGTAATGCGCTAAAGACAGATCTTCCACAGAGCATATGACAGTGGCTTCAGCATGCTCTTCCCCCTCTTCATTTGCTGGTAAAAGAAACCTAGATTTGCCCATGCCCCCCTCATGAGGAAACAGCTGTCCACGAATGGTCACCTGCAGTTTAAAATGCAAACATAGATGAACAAATCTTATTTTACATACCGCAAACAATTAAGACGACTACGTTTTTTTTCCATGAAACCCTGACATCCTGTGAAAAACTCACATGTCTGACATCTTGGACTTCGATGGTGGGCAGGTCTCTCAGTTGTAGACGGTACTTCTTGCAGCTGGCAGATTCTTTCATCCTCACAGCCCTCTGATGAAGGGAGAGTTTATGTCCTGTGCGCACCAGAGGGTCTGATAGCCCATCTCTAATCGCACAAATAGCCTAAGTGTGATGGGGGGGAAAAAAAACAGCCCAGCTAATGAAAACACAACAGATACTACTGAGAACAATGTTGCACATGAAGATAAACAATATCTGTGAGGAGGTGAATAGAACGACAGACACTGGTGCTCACTTGCTCAGGTTTTTTGAGGTGCTGGTGAAGGTTTAGTGCCAGTCTGTCCCACCATCTCCCGCGGCTGTCAGGACAGTACACAGGCTGCAACAGCAAGGACTGCAGCTCTTCTACTGCGTCCTGTAACATGAAGGTAGACCAATGAAACCTTCAACAATGGCATTTTTCACTTTATAAATAGTTAAATTTATATGGAAGAGTGAAAGTATAAGTTCAGAAAAACCTCATAGCGACGTAGTCTCTGCAAAATCTCCACTCCTCTGGATAAAATACGAGTGTAAGCCCATCCAGTAGTGAAGCTGCGCAGGAACACAGGAAGCTCCTCCTGGTGACTATCCGATAAATGATAAGGTTAACATTAAACAATCACCAGGGACTCCGTATCTGTGTTTGCAGGGACAAAAACAAGTGAACAGATATATGGGTCCTAACCTGAGGTCACTGTTTTTCCTCATCTCCTGCCAGGCACTTTTGGCAGCAGTGTAAAGCTCCAGGGCTCTCTCCCACTGACCGCCCTGCATTGCTAAGATCACCTCTTGGAGAGCTCTCATGGAAGCTTCATATCTGGCATAATGTATGAAATCATCAGTATTTTCCTAACCTATCCCACTTGGATAAAATAAAATTAAAAATCCTTTTAGAACTTCACCTCACCTGATAAGGTCCTCTCTGTCCTGAAACACCTTGGCTGCACGCTGCACTGTGTAGTCTGGGAAGGCCAGACGTCCTGAGTTTACCAACAGGATGGTAAAAAGCTGGTTCTGTCCTCCGGCCGCCATCTCCTCCTCTTCCATGGTGTCCGTCAGAGAGAAGAGCAGAAGGATGCGGGAGAAGACAGCCCGAGGGCCGCGACAGAGACGCACACAGGAACCTGCAAGCTGCTTTGCCCTTTAAAGAAAAGCCAGGGGTGTCATCCTAACTGCGGTACTATCGCTGTGCATGAACACAGTGTAAATGATCATCTAACCTTTTGAGGATGACAGCTCCAACGTTGTTTTGACCAGCAGACAAAGAGAAGAAAGACTTTTGCCTGCTTAGGCGGAGAAGCCCATCGACTAGCTGCTGTTTTTGAGTCCCAGAACTGCCCAGATGGAAAGTCTTAGCCAAAGCTTTGAGCTCAGGAGCCGGCAGGAGATCCAGAGCCTCTGACAGGTCCTCAAGGTCGTTCTCTTTGAGATGGAAAAACACCATAGGCAGGCGGTAATGGAGAGAAATAAAAAATATTCATATTTGAGTTATTTAGTGTTTTAATAGGCTAACACAAAGGTTTGGTCCAAACTTTTTGCTGTATTATTCAGCTAAAGTAGCAACAATGGAAACAACACAATAATTAAATGTAATGGCAGCAGTCACAGCAAAGAAATAACAGGAGAAGCATGCATACACATAGGTAACAAAAAGCAAGTGAGGCATTTCAAAATATTAACATGTATTCTCAGGGATCATTTACCTGTCTGTAGAAAACCACTTTGAACCAGCTCCTGTGCAATCGGTCCCAGATCACTGCTTATCGCTTCATAATCCAGTTTATTTACTTGGAGCCACTTCAGTTTCCTCTGAAAAAGCCTCACATACAGCTTCTGCCCCATAACTTTGAGAGAGAAATCACAGATGAGCAATCAGGTCTCATTTTAATGTCACTTCTGAATTATTTTTCATGCAGTTAAGAGTGATATTTCAGCATACCTGACAGATTTTCAAATGAATGTACGAGTGACATATCCTCCTCGTTGAACAACATCCTATCATCTTCATTCTCCAGCACAGCCTGCAGTACAGTCTGGAAGTTACGGAGGTAGTAGGGAAGATATGGAGGATGAGAGCTCTGGTCGCTGGTGTTCTCAGAACCGGACACTGACTCTGAATCATTACTGGTAACTGCAACACTTTTCTCATGTGTGTCCTCTGAACTCGAAGGTGGGTCACGAGTAGGAGAAGCAGATGGTAGCACAGATTTCTGCTGGTCCATGTCAGTTTTCTCAGCTGTAGACGTCTCCTCCGGTTCTCTACTGTTCTCCTCATATTTAGCTTTCTTTTGGAAGTCAGACAGCCTGCTAGTGGAAACTGTTGCCTTTTTTCTCTTTGCTGGTTTAGAGGGAGGAGAGCGCAGCTTCGGAGTAATCAGTTCATGCACAGACTCCGATTTAGATGGTTGGTGCTCAAGGTTATGTGCTTTTTCTGAGCACGATGACTCCTCCACAGCAGCTGGAGCGTCTACACTGGTGTTTATGAGCTTTGCACAGTCTTTCCTGTCTTCCACACTCTGAATTAAAACATTTTCTTTCTGTGAGCTACTGATCGTCTCAGATGAATGTAACTCCTTGAGAGCTTTTTTATCCTCTGTCTGAGTCCTCTCGGGTACCTTTCGACATTTTCTTGATAACTTGGAGGAGAGACTTCCGAGGTCAATGGTCCTGACCACAGTCTTGCTGTGTATCTCCCGCGGTGTCTGCTGAAAGTTGTCCTTCTTAAAGTAAGGACTGGTCTTGGTCTCTTTGTCCTCTTCTTCTGGTTTTCGATCCAGCTCCGGGGACTTTGGAAGATTCCTTGTGGGTGACAGCTGGGTGCTTGACACAACACTATTACTTGCTGAGGCGACAGTGCTGTCTCCTCTCTCAAAGTTCTGACATTGCAGATCAATGTGCTCATTGATCCTGAATCTCGGTACCAGCTGGCCACACAGAGGGCAGGCGAGCTTCGGAGGAGGCTGGCTGCAGAAGAACGACGTGATTGGAGTTGTGGTGGCAGCACTGGCAGAAATCCCAGCTTTATCACTGCCTTTCTTCTTGCTCTTGGACAATGACAAACTTCGCCTAAGTTTGTCTTTGTTAGCTCTCTCGGTCATGTTGCTTGAGATAGCGGCTTTGCTCGAAGAAAACTGTTTTAGAAGCTTTTCCTCGTTGCATACTCTGAGCAGAACTGTCGATGGATAAATAGTTGACAGTACTATGGCTCTATTTACGACCAGCTAAATCAAACGTAACGTCGTTTGAAACTATCACACCTTTGCGACTTTCAGTGTTTTATTCCAACGGCAAAACCCCCCCACAAAAATACCCCAGTATAATAGAGGCTGTCAGCGGGTAAAAACATTAGCTAACATACCGGTAGCATCTGGTAACACAACAGTCCCGCTTCTCAGGCATAACCAGCGGAGTGCAGAGCGCATTTCAGGATGTCGAAATCGATCCCAGAAAAATCGATATTTTCTCAAAACTAAATGTTTAATTAATATTAAATAAGAAAATTATTCTGAGTGCATAATATTTCTGTGTATATATTTTTGTATTAAAGATAGTGGTGTATAATCAAAATTTATACTGATAATCTTTTTTTACGTCCTAAATCGCACCCAGGTACACCGATAAAGTCAAAAAAAATAATTGTAAATGATTTAAAATCAAAACGTCACGTGTCCGTAAATTTGCACTCATTTTGGCTCTTGCGGTGTTTTTGTGTTGGGGCAGCACCAGTGCGACCAGTGAGCACATGATGGGGTGTGTATTTTCTACACAGGTTCCTGGGCTGCTGTGCGGCTTTTATTCAAAAATCACCATTCCGGAGAGCAATCTGATCTGATCAGCACCCGGGCATTTCACAAGGAAGGGCCGCCCACAGCACCGATGTCGGTAAGTGGCACGCAGAATTATCTATATATAGACAGAGGAGTAAAATGTAATAGTGATGCATGTAGGCCTGTTCGGCTTGAGAGCTGCAAACAATGCTGGATGTGCTCCTGTGGCAGGCAGCAGCTCCGTAGCTGGATGTCAGCATGGTGCAGTCTCGAAGCTTCAAATCAAGGTCGATGTAAATTGCAGCAGCAGCAGCAGCAGAAGCAGCAGCAGTAGGGTAACAAGATGCCTCCTGATGGTAAAAGCAGTGTGTTTAGGGAGTCAGCTCCATCACTGCTATACGCGCAGGAAAACCATATATCCGATTATCTTATCGACATTCAGGGAGATGGGAATGCGGTGTCCACTTGTGGGGAGCCACCACAACAACCACCCCTGCAGCTGCGGCAAAAGTTCGGCGTAATAGGTTTATAAAATATCACCACAAGCACGTCAAGGGCAGGGCAAACGCCAGAAAACCGCACCTCAGTGTAAGACCATAATGACCCTTATTGTTTTAACTGCCAGTTCAGCACCATGGAGAGGTCATGATTAGGTCTGCGAGCTGAGATTATTGGGTTTAGTGGGGTGATGCTATAATCTCAGTTGCATTATGATCTGATCAGCACCGGTTGGATTCGTTTCATTGTGTATAGATTGTTGAACCGCATCCAGAACAGCTCAGCGAGGTGTTTTCAGCTCAGATGCTTCATGGTTAATGAGGGTGTTGATGATGACATGTTTGGACTGGGCGTGTAGCAAACCACTGCTCAGTGTGCAGTGCATTCACTACTAATCAGACACAAAGCCTGTATTACTTACACTTTGATATTTCTCGTGTTCAAATCATAACAGAGTGAATTTTAAGAACCGCAGGGATTTATAATGTCTTACTTAGAAAATAGTCTGCGTATTGGTCCTTGTAAATGTGCAAATATAAATACAATTAGTGTGATTTTTATCTTAAATTATTGAATTCTCTCTGTAATATTTTTGTAATTGTAGTGATGCAAATGACTGTTGTTTTCATTATCAATCAATCTGCCAGTTATTGCTGTGAATAATTGTTTGCTCCATAGAGCGTCAGACCAGAGAAAAATGCACATTACATCTTCCCAGAGCTCAAAGTAATCATTTTGGATTGCTGGTTCAACCAACAGTCAGAAACTCAGGAAGATTGTCCCTTTGCAGATTCATAGAAAAGTAAGAAAATTGGCAAATAATCCCACTGTAGTGAGTGAATTCGAGCAATTAACAACAATTAACATCTATCAAAGTTTCAACTCTGTAGTACTGTATGGCATATTATGATTTACTGTTGTGTGTTTCCTTACACTGCTGATACATCATAAAAAAATGCAAACAAATGTGAATTCTTGTTGAACTGGTGCTTTTTCTGTTTATCTACCGTTTCAGAGGATGTGCCTTCATCTAGTGCACATATCTATTCAGAGATTATACTCAGGTGTCAAAGGAATGATGTACTATTCCACAGTTTCCTCAGAGGACATAAGTCCTGGGCCATAAACATGGCAGCCACACGAACCACATTTCATCCATTTTTCAAGGATTGATCACAAAAATAACAACGATTTTACAGAAAAAACATCACATGCTGCTGGACTTTTTACTGCATGTAAAGGTAGAAGTAGTAGGTGGATGTAGTATTATGACTTAGAGGTGACTTGTGTTTGCTCTAAAAAGAAGGGACTGTGTCTCTGTGTGTTTAAACTGTGACACAGAGATATTCACTTTATTCACATATGATTCCCAAATTCTTGTGTAAATACAGATACAGATTTTCTCGACCATATGTTTTTGAAATCTGGTGCTGTGTCAAGAGCTTCAGAGAAATGTGTTGCTGAGCTGTGTTGCAACAGCTTGAAAAGTGAACAAGGAAAAAGGTTGTGTTTTTAAAGCTGAATTTAGATTCTTAATGGCTAAATAGTTCATGTATTTATTGAAAAGAGAGGCACAGCCATTGATTGTTAATTCCTACAGTTTCATTTCTGTGATGAAATGTAATGACTAATATAAAACATGCTATGTAGTCAGTGATTTTTTATGACACTATGAGTACAAATGATGTGCTGTTGAAAATATTAAGGGAAAATTTATAGAAATCATAATGAACGTTTGACAAAAATGTCAAATTTGGTTGTCTGTTCATGTTCACAGGGTTTAGGGTAGTTGGCTTGAGGGGCCAGTTATGGCTCATGGAAAAAGTCCAGAAACCGTTTCCAAAATATTGGCACCCAGCCCTTCTTCATGCCCTGATCCAGGACTCACGAAACAGAGCCAAGAAGAGCAGCGAGGTTTGGTGAGGGAGGCGACTGAGCAACAACCTTGTACCTTGAAGGATGATGACAATGACCAGCTGACTTCTCCTGATTCTGCAAACCACTATTACATGAGTTGTGACCCGAGTCCAGAGGACATGGAGGACACCTGCTCTGAGTACGACAACGTGGGCTCGGATGTCGAGCAGGACTATGATGAGGTGCTGCATTTGAACAGGGAGGGCATTGTGGACATGAGGTATTACAAACAGTACTGTCCTGAAGATGGTGGCTATATAAAGCATGCAGCAGGTGATAATATTAATGATAACACCGGTGCTGCTGAGCAGATCACTCCCAGGCCTCGACACAGCACAGAAATACGTGAGGGATCACAATCAGACACTAAGCCGTATAAGACGGGCCATCGCTTTAGGTCACATTGTGCCCCGATTGCTGCAGATGAAGCAGAGGGCGGCATGAAAAAGGGCCAGGAGGACAGGTTCTTCTTCAACGATGGAGATGAGATAGAAGAGGTGCTAGACGGTGCCAAATTCATAGAGGACTTAGAGGAGACTGAGAATAGTGTTCAAGAGCAGACTAGCCTATATCAGGGCAACGAGAACGAGAGAATTAGAAAGGGAGGTGATGAAAGGGAAAGAGAAGACGACACCCAAGTCACAAGGAACCACAATGTCCCAGGAGCCGGAAAGAAGTGTGAGTCATCTCACATGGGTTCCAAGGAGAAGGAGAGGCAGGGCAAAGGACGAGGAAGAAGGGGAACAGGAGAGGACATTGAGCACATTGTTTCTGGGATCAAAGGATGCACGACGACCAGCACCGAGCAGCGTCCAAAGACTTTGTCCAAGGACTGCAAAAAGGCCGCTGTGCGGACCAAAGTTAGGCCTGGTTCCAGTAAGCAACATCCTCCTCCACCGCCTCGTCATTCCCATGCTCAGTCTCCTACCGACAGCCAGAAGGCCCAACCTCAAAGAGAGACTCCTCCTGTTCCCAAACCCAGTCCCTCCGCTGCTAACAGCCGGGAGAGTGAGCCGAGGGTTATCAAACCATCCCTGGCTCCTCATCACACACCGGAACAACAGAGGGAGTCTCTAGAGGAGCGACAGAGACGGCCAGAGAAACCACAGCAGGTAACCAATCCAAATAGGGCAAGTCTTTGTCACATCTCATCCCCTGTGTCTTGTGATTGTTAATATTTGTACCCAATCTACCAGCACTGTGCCGCAGAGTGAATCAAATAAGATTTTAATTACAAGTTTTGTCAGAAAGAGTCTTTGTCGCCTTTTTCTATATGCAGTTACCATCTAAGCAGGACAGCAAGAAACATTTAAAACAAGACTTTCCCAAGTTGAAACAGATATTTGTGTCCAGCAGGACGACAAGCCAAGCACAGCCGCGATGCCTGAGGACGTGCCAGAGCAGCCAAGGAGGCCTCAGTGCCCAGAGCTCGTCCCTGCGGGGGACAGTAACACTCCCAAGGTGAAGATTAGTTTCAATATGAAATTTCTCAAAGATGAGAACTTCTAATTTCTTGCAGTGTAGTTTATGTTAACTAATCTGTCTTTAAAATGTAATTCCTAAATGTGCATGCTAAAATTCTGAGAGACATATTGAGGCCATCATACTGAGTCATATTTACCGTGATAACTGACACAGTTTATGATATGAAATACTGAAGTTCTGAAATTATTTTTAAAGAAAACACAAGAGGCTGCTTCCTTCCCCAGCTTTGAGGACGGTAAATATCTCAGAATATTTCAAAATTTTGTAGTTTCTATGAATCGATGCAGCGCATTACGGTCTCACAAAAAAATGATGCTGTTTTGCTGCACAGTCCCAGGTCCCTGTGAGCCAGAAGATCTCATTGATGGGATCATCTTTGCTGCTAACTACCTTGGCTGCACTCAGGTGTTGTCGGATAAAAATCCATCCAAGTCTGTGCGCATGTCCCAGGCCCACGAAGCCGTCAGTCGTATCAAGGTAAATCGCCCTCAAGAGGGGCCATCTGCTAACTACTGTTGATTTGGTTTACAAATGTTTGAATTGACTAATGTGTTCTGACTTCATCAGAAGATCAAAATGTAGGCGCAAATTTAAAAGTAATTGGTATTCAGGTCCAAGAGGATTGATTACATTTCATTCTAGATGTGAGATTTCTAGCATTAGACATGTTGCCTTTTGGTCTTCAGCTATCAGACCATCTGACTTAGAGACAATTTAATTTTTTCATTTTATTCCAGATGTATATTTGCAGGTTTGCAGTTTTACTGTGGGTTGCAGTGGATTAATGGCATTTATAAACCTGTGTGTGTGTGTGTGTGTGTGTGTGTGTGTGTGTGTGTGTTGTCAGCTAGCGTCTTTGTGAAAGGTTCGCTGTGCAAGAGATTCATTTATTTACCACACAGTGGAGCTGTTGCATTCCTTTTTTTTCTCACCTCCACCCATATCAGTGCTTTGATAATGACCTGAATATGTGCATAGCGAGTAGAAAACATCGCACTAAAGAAATGAAATGTAAAATCTCTTACTAAAATGATATTTATTTCAAAGAGCCAAGACGAAGACTCTCAGATGATGACAGAAGTGGACCTGTTTATCTCTACAAAAGCTGTCAAAGTGCTGAATGCTGATACACAGGTTAGTGACTCTTAGATCTGTGTGTTCTTCTTCAGTCTTCACGCTATGTTTATTTTCAGATATAATGATCTTTATTTTTGCATTGTTTTCTTTAGGAGACAATGATGGACAGTGCCTTGCGGACCATCTCCTATATCGCAGACATTGGTAGCATTGTGGTTCTGATGGCTCGGAGGCGCATGTCTCAGGCCTCATCGGAAGATTTTTCCGAATCGTCCGACTCTACCAGCGACGGGAAGAGTCAGTACAGGATGATCTGCTATGTGTTTGAGTCAGAGGACGTAAGTGCCGCTATTTAACTGCACATACATTTTTTAGTTTCGAATTGAGTTTTGGTTCAGATATGTTTTCTGTGGTCTCTGAAACCATTGTGATCTTTCTCACTTCCTTGCTGTTGTCAACTGGGATAGTCTTTCTGCTGAGTAGTTTTCCCCAAACGCTTCCCTCCCATAGGCACAGCTAATTGCACAGTCCATTGGTCAGGCTTTCAGCGTGGCCTACAGAGAGTTCCTGCGAGCCAATGGCATCAACCCGACCGACTTGAGCCAGAAACAGTACAGTGACATCATCAACTCCCAGGAAATGTACCACGATGACCTCGTCCATTTCTCAAACTCAGACAACTGTAAAGAGGTGCGACATTTTTTATTTCGCTGCGGGGAAATTGTGGATGATGACTGATGGCTTTCCCTTAACGGAAATGACTCCACTAGAATCTCACAAATCTTCTAAACCCTGGCAATTTAAAATGTGCTTGAAAAGATTTAGGAAATGCTTTTTTTTTTTTTTCTTGTCTGCGTTCCAGCTCTACGTGGAGAAGCAGAAAGGGGAGATCCTCGGTGTGGTCATAGTGGAGTCTGGCTGGGGCTCCATCCTGCCCACCGTCATCCTGGCCAGCATGCTGAACAGCGGCCCTGCAGCTCGCTCTGGAAAACTCAGTGTGGGGGATCAGATTATGTCCATCAATGACACCAGTCTGGTAGGGCTGCCACTGGCCACCTGTCAGGGCATCATCAAGGTACGGAGCGTTATCAAGCACCTCCAGTTAGTGTTTGTACATAAAGTCCTCAGCTGGATATGGAAATACTGGAATCTGGGAATGTCACGGTGGCTTTTTGTAGGATTTTGCCTGCACGGCAAAGACATCCTGGTCAGCTGTGCAGGAGACTTGAATTTCACTGTTAAAAATTGTTGGTGGATCAGTGATTAGTTCAGGTTGCCCCCTGCTTTTCTGCTAACTGCATACTGAGATAAGCTAAAGCAGGGAAGCTCAACTTGTTTTTTCTGTGGTCCTTTTTTTTCCCAAAATGATAGGATGTCAGTTATTAATCACACTAACAATAATACCAATAAGATAAAATGAATAAATAAAAAAATTAAAGGCCCATAACTCTTTTCTTTAACATAATTTAGTTTCATATTAACTAAGCAACAGCCAAGCTACATAACTGAACATTTAGTATAGAAACAAGCAAAAAAAAAAAAAAGTGTGAATCAATTTATTGTAATGGTGGATTAGAAAATAGTTGGCGAGTCTGTCAATACCCTATCAGGAGCCTCATTGGGTCTGCAGGCCATAAGTTAGGTATCACTGGGTTATAGCATCTTAATCCTCAAGACGCAAAACAGATAATAACTGCATGTAAATTTAATTGTGAAACTAAAACATACTTAGCAAATTATTCCATCCACACAGTCACGCAATAACATACTGAAACCCCACATAATGATGACAATAATCTTTAGTCTATAACCGTTTGCCTTCTGCAGCCTGTTTGCCTTCCACAACTCCAAGCCCAGTGGTTCCTGCTGAAAATATAATTCTCAAGTTTTTCTCCAATTGCTCACAAGTATTTATCTGAGCGATGTATGTGGGACTCAAAATAGACACTAATGGTACAATAAGTTATATCAGACGTGGCAACATGTAATACTATCCGTTAGCTATACATCACTCAATCCTCACTTGGGTCGTGGGGGGCTGGAGTCTATCCCAGCTGACCCAGGGTGAAGGCAGGTCGCCAGTCTATCATAGGGGTACAGACAACCAAGCACACTCACATTCACAACTACGGACAATTTAAAATCAGCAATGAACCTTAACATGCAAATGCCATGCAGAAAGATCCCAGGCGTGAACTGAGGATCTTCTAGCTGTTGGTTCTGGTCTTTTTGTGGCCTTTATTGATAATAACTCTTATCCTTATGTTTGTTGTGTTTGTGGTTGTTGTGTGTATAAGTGTGACTGTGTGTATGTGTGTGGACCCCAGGAAGAACAGCCCACGCTTATGCTGGTGCTAATGGGGATCCTAATAAACAAAATGAATCCTTTAAAATGACTGAAACTTGTGTGTGTATTTGGGCTCGTCCCAGGGCCTGAAGAACCAGGTGAAGGTGAAGCTGAGTATAGTGAGCTGTCCTCCTGTCACCACCGTCCTCATCAAGAGACCTGATCTCAAGTTCCAGCTCGGCTTCAGCGTTCAAAATGGCATCGTAAGTAAGCCCCTGTCAGTCGTGACGCTAAACTTTAGGCTGAGGCTCAAATTGAAAGGCTGCCAACTTCCGTAGAGTGCCGTTGTTTTTAAACAGTGAGGCTGATGCCGTTGTGTTTGCAGCTCCATACATAGCGTGTGTTTGACATCCTCAGATCTGCAGTCTGATGCGAGGCGGTATTGCTGAGCGGGGCGGCGTTCGTGTTGGGCACAGAATCATTGAAATAAATGGTCAAAGTGTTGTTGCCATGGCGCATGAGAAGATCGTCCAAACCCTGTCTGTCTCAGTGGGTGAGGTAAGAACTGGTCATGACACAAGACAGCAATTTTCACTGATTACTGCACCACAGAATCACTCTTGCCACACGGGACTGGATCAGGTTGAGATTAGTTGATGGCCAAACATTATTGGGTACGTGCTCACTGCAGCATGCATTTAATCAATACATAAAATCAATAAAAGGCCTTTGCTAAAAGGGCACGGTTAAATATTTAAATCTTAACTCAAAAGCTGATAAAATCAAGTGTAAGTAGGGCAGCAGAGGGTGATTGTTTTGAGCAGTTCCAGTTACTGTAAACGTATTTATTTCCTCGAGTGCAAACCTGCATTTAAATGTAGTTTATCTTATCTCCACCAAAATATATGCTATTGTGCTTTAAAGGAACAGTTTAACGTGACGGGAATTTCACTTCTTTGCTTCCGTGTTTAGAGTTAGATAAAAAAGACTGATACTACTCCCATGTCAAAGTCCAGCACGTTAACCAACATGTTGTTTTTAACTTTTGATTTAGGTGGATTAAATAAATATGTTTTCATTTTAAGAACTGATACAAGGATTTATTATCTCTGGAGCGAGTCGGGCTTGTTGTTTGAGGTCTTTTTGCTAAGCTAAGCTAACCGTCTGCCCGCTTCATATTTATTTTACAGATACGAGAGCGTTATCGATCTTCTAATTTAACTCTCGACACGAAAGAGTGAATTTCGCGTTTGCAAAAATGTCGAACTATTGTTTTGTAAATTTGTCTTTAACCACTAGGAAATAAATTTGTTTCTTCAATTTGACAGTTTGCTATAAATATCCTTGCGAATTGCCTTAAATTATGTCCAGACAAATTGTCCCTATCAACCATTTGCAGCTGTGAGTTAGTTTTTGTGTGTTTCTTCTCCAATTTCTGCCTGTATGCATCTCCATTAAAACCACGAGAGCTCATTATTTGTCAGTAATGCATCCAAGGTCTCTTCTCTCTTGTGGCACAGAAGGGAGTAAATTAGGCCTGGATTCAAGTGATGTGATTACGGCTGTGCATCTATAAATGGGTTCTTAAGATTACGGTGTAATCGTCCCGCTCCTCTCATCTCTGCCTCTCTGCCAGATCAACATGAAGACGATGCCTGCTGTGATGTTCAGGCTGCTGACAGGACAGGAGACGCCTATCTACATATAGAGACCCTGCATGGATCCAGCCCACTGTAGTTCTGCATGTCTGGCTGTGTGGAGACAATAGGCAGGTGGCTCAGTGGGAGGAGGAGAATTTATTTTTCTATCATTTTATTTTTGGGCTCTTGTTGCGATGCTGTAAAGAACATCCGGTTCTCATTTTTCAGGTTTTATCTTGAATTACATTGTCATAATGGCCTTACAATGTGAATACTCTGTCTGTAGTACTGTACGTGAGTTTATGGTGTTGAAGAGAAGTAGCTTTATGGTCATGATTATTTTCTTATGAAGAGATAAATTAGTACATTTATTTTTTATTTAGTCATTTTTATAATGTGTATGGAGTTAAAAAATTGTACTTTTACTGTAAATACTTTGGATTACTCAAGGACTTGGTTGGAAAGGCCATATTACTCCTACAGTATATGCATGTGATTATGAAAAATTACTGACCAGGGATTCATTCTCAATCGGACATGATAATGTATTACGGTAAGTATTAAAAGAAGATAATAATATGCTGTACAAAGGCACTAAACTCTGTGTATTATGGTGACGCTGAAGGCCAAAGACACACCTACTATTCAAAGACATACAGTATGGATGATCATTACCTTTACCAGAGCTTACAAGAATGTATCGAAATATACATTACTGGATGAATGTAATGTTAAAACACACTAAAAATACAACTTCACTGCTCAACACTTGTTTGTTTGTATTTTTTTATTAAGGTGTAATGGCAAAAAAAAAAGGTGCTTATAAGACATAAAATACATTTGGCTGGATTAGAAGATAATCACTTATCTGGGCAGTTTCGTGTTCTCGCGTTTTCACATTTATTTGGATTTCAGAAGTTGTGACACTGCTCAGAAACTGTACACATATTACAAGTTGTTGGTGCCACAACAATCCGCATGCGATGCAAGATACCCTGATGAGGCTATCCATCATAAATATAATCAATACTAAACTATTCCATCTCATTCCTATCATCCATAGTGATCGGTGTATATACACACTGTGTGGATCCCATACAGTTTTGTATTATATTTACAACTACTGCAACACAACAATGTACTTTACAAATACAATTATTTACAGATAACTCAGGTGTAACACTTACTTAGATAATTAAAACAGGTGTGAAATTAGACACTCAATTTGCAACACATTCAGCACAAACATCTTCAAGTATTAGTTGGTAAACCTCCCTGATGGAAAACCTGGACAGCATCATATATGGTCCTGAAACACAGAAACAAAATGATCACAGTCAGTGTGTAGCAAGGTAACCTCTTAGTTATTATTGGACATACAAGTGCAGCACTTATAATTTAAAATATACAGTATATGCTGTGGTGACCATTATAGCTGTAATAGTACATTTATTTGAATCTGCCAAACTCTGTTAAGCCTCTGAATTCCAGCTGGTTGCTGCAGTCACAGTTTTACTTATGGGGCTTTTATTTTTTTGGGCTGCAATATAAAGTGCTCTATGGAAACAGCACAACTATGGCTAGAAGTAGAAAGAACTCAAAAATATCTTCTTAGCTGTATGGCACAGTTACAATGACATAAATCGTTAAAAAAAAGAAAAAAAGAAACAAAAGTTGAATGTCTGTTTTTTTCAACAATAAAATTAATAACATGGGAATCAACATTTACAATATTTTTTCAAAGTGCCCACAGGTGTTACCAATACTGGGAAAGAATGGCAACTCTATATTTTACTACCTTACAACTTTTTTTTGTTTTTTTCTGTACTCGTCTTCTATCTGCTCTGTGCACACACAGCCTGCAGTTCAGCCCAGTTCACTTAAAAAGTCCCAGAATTTTCCCCATGTGTCTGTTGGTCACAGCTGAGTTATTGAGGACTTTTAAGTTGTGTTTAAGAGTGCAGAATGTTTTGTTTTTCACAGAATCTGGTTAGTAAAAATGGTTTATTTGGGGGACTTTTGTTGTTGTTGAAAAAATTTGGTAAAATTAGGTGATATTGATGAAATAGAATCATTTTTGTATTAGATTTTGCATCGTTTTCTAACTGAACCACATGACACAGTTGAATAACTGAAGAATCTGAAAGTTGAGAATTTTCCGATTGTTTCTGTTTTTAGGGTTACTGGCTGTGATAACTGGTATAATTCTGGCAATTATTTAATGATAATGTGCCTTTAAAGCTGCAGGTAGGGTCAGAAGGTTACTACTGCATTGGTCAAATGAGTGCTTATTTTGCAGCAAAAAAAAAGTATATCCAAGTTCAGTTCCAACAAGTTGGTAAAAGGACAATGAAAATTGCAAAGCTGCTGCTTGTAAATGAGTAAGTGATCAAGAAAAAAGTTACTTTCATGATTGCTAATGTATCAGAAAGAGTATTACCCACTTAATGCAATCAACTTACCGCTGTAATCTTTGTTGTCAACGGTGAAATTGTTACTCCATCGATGAAAACAGAATTCATGTAGCCCTCTCCATAAGAAACATCATCATCGTCATAGCTGTCCACTCCAACACTGAAAGCCTCTTTTATCTTCTCTGGTACCAGACAGTTAAACATCACCACTAGAATCCCAATGATGGTACACAGCACACCTGGAAATCATCTCAGTTAGTAAAATCGCTAGTCTCCGCTATCCTTTGGTTGCCAGTTTTAAGTACAAAACATATGAAATAAATGTGCAACAATATTTATTTACCTGTAGCCAGAGCCAGCCAGAATGAATGGCTGTATTCTGTTTCAAAGGAGGCAGTTCCTATAGAGAAAACACACTGAGGCACATTCATGATGGTGGAGAATGAGGCCATGGAGAAGAAGATGAAGGCAGCGGTGGCTATCATCATGTAGCCCGCATACAGAATGACCGGCATGGAGAAGAGGATGTTGGCCAGCATCCAGCAGCAAAACGCTGTCCTGTGGAACAAATAATGTGCAGCAGCTTTAATTACTGCTATTTCATAAGCATCTACTCAAACTGACTGTGCATTATTTCAAAAAATGTAATTAAGAGGGTGTCTTTTTAATATAATCACCAGAGAGTTGCAGAAGCGTATCGTCCAGAGTATCTGTACTGAAAGATGAGACCACATGGGCTGGTCAGGGTGAATTTCTCAGCGATGTAGAGGATGGGGTTGGGTAGACCTCTCTCCAGGGCGTCCTCATACTCTTCCTTCATAGTGCCATGCCAGCTGAACACCTCATTGTAGTTAATGGTCTCGTTGAACTGTACGACAGGATTCCCTGAGAGAGAGAGAATCAATCACAGATACATCTAAAATCCATATGCAAGACAGATAAAAATGTTAACCCACGAGATGGAGTGGTAGTTTGACTTTTTAGGACAGAAAATTTCACTAGACTTGACAGTGAACACCAAAGATCTAAGTCGTTCAAAACATTAAAGCTGCCAGATTATGTCTGTTTTGTGCGCTAGACCTCCACAAAACAGCTGCAACAGTGACTCACCTTTCAAGGTAACGTTGATGCCGTACAGCCCGACGTGCAAGCCGATGTCAGCGTTAATCACCGCGTTGCTGAAAGACTTGTAGGTGGCGTTTGTGGTCACGCTGGCCTCAGCCCAGTCGCTGGTAAAGTTGAGCGCTGCAGAAAAATGACATAAGAGGTAAACAGTGATGGCAGGAAAAGAAAGAAATCTGTTGTTTATTATGCAACAATGATTCAACAAAGAATACAAAACTCACCCACTATCACCGCACCTATGAACAAACTGATAATGATTCTGAACATCCAGAACAGACGCTGATAGGAAGAGAAACAACACAATCAAACATGATTTCAGGTGCACTGATTGAAAAAAAAAAAAAAAAAAAGGCAAGGAGAGTCAAGTTAAAGCATTACAATAAAATGCTGTTATTACTTTTCACTTTCAATAACCATCCGAACAAACACACAGGGAGAGAAAAACTCTGAGGTTTTGTGACATGTCTGCAGTGAGTAATATGTTATCTAACGGACTGCACTCACCGACTTCCCTCGTATCCCTGGCAGAATGAGAAGGAGACTGACTGCTAGTACAAGGAAAACCAGAATAATGGTGAGCAAGCGGCCACTGAAGATGAAGGCAGTTCTTTGTAGAGGGTAGAATGGGTAAATGTCATCGTAGAAAGTCATCTTAGCGTCTGATCTTACGGACACAGCTGAGACTAGACAGTGTAACAGAGAAGACAGTGTTAGCCGTGGGCTTCTCGGGTTCCTCCAGATGCAGAGATAGCAGCTCCTGTTGCCTACAACTGATAAGGGATGTTTCATTACTACCACCACGTAACATGGCAGAAGATTAAGCAAAAGCATGTCTAACTTTAGCAACAGCACCTAACTCTGCTTGGGTGTTTTTTTGCAGCAAACAAAGAAATGCATCTGTATAATGCGTGAAGACGTGCAATCCTATACATCCACGTGACCGCTTCAGTCACTATAATGTAAATCAGAGCTCCTGACTTGGCTCTATCCTGACTTGAAAGCTCTCTTTTAAACCTAAACGAGAAGTTTTCAATAAAACCAATCAAAGAAAGTAACAAAAAAAAAAAAGACAATTTAAAAGATCTGATTTACCTGAAAGTTGAAACACGAGGACTGCAGAAGAAGAGGAGCCTGAAGTGTGAATGTTGAGGGAACATACACTTCTTTTATACCAGCGGCCCCCTTTGTGTCACCGAGGAGGAGGATGATGCATTAACTGGAATGCTGTGGAAAAGAGGTGTGATCCAGAGATGGTGGCCATTCCCATTTGGGAAACACAGGTCACATACGGTTTGTGATAAGCTGTGCAACACATCCTGGCTTTAGTCTTGTGGCATTCTTCACCTGCACTTGTGCTCCTGCACTGCTTCTGCACATTTCAGCCTCTGCAGTGGGTGAGACTCAGCTATTTCCTCTCTTTTTAAATGTAATTTAAGATATTCAGGAAACATGGCATTGTTTTTGGCAGTTTTAGGTTTTCCAGCAAGACCAAAAGGAACATTTTGACAAGGTTTTGAAAAGTTTTGCTATTTATTCAAATAGGAAAAGTGGATTATCTGTGGAGTTAGACTGCTAGGCTTTTGTTTCCTATCTCTGCTAAAGCAACAAAGTATATAACGTGGAAATATAATAGGAATATAATAGTAAATGTAAGTTACCTTCACCTCGGCTTCGTTTTCAGGAGTCCTTCTCTCCTCTTGGCTGAAGACTGAGCTGAGGAGCATCTCCTCGCATCAATGGATTTGCGTAAATGGCAGTGGAGTGTGTGTGCAGTGGTTGGCTTGGTGCTCAGTGTCAGTGAACGTAAGTACACAGCAGCTGTGCTTCATTTTCACTCTCTTAGAAAAACCCAGTGAGAGCCGCTTCAGTTTCAGCTCCACGTGTATTTTACAGACTGTCAGTGTGAAGTCAGCTGGGAGGTCCCGCGCTTTGACGGCTGGTACAACAGTTTGGGGAACCCTAAACGGGGAGCTGTCGGTGAGTTTCAGCGGCTTTAACACCGTCGTTCTGTCCGTCTGACATCAACACACCTGCTCACTGTGTGTGTGTGTGTGTGTGTGTGTGTGTGTGTGTGTGTGCTCGTGTGTCCGCGCACGCACAGGTACTCATCTCGTGCGCCTCGTGCCCGCGCGCTACTGGGACGGAGTCTACCAGCCGCTGCACGAGCCGCTGCTGCCGAACCCGCGCAGACTGAGCGCGCGCTTGAGCGGAGGCCCCTCCGGCCAGCCGTCAACCCGGAACCAGACCGTCCTGTCCCTGTTCTTTGGTAAATATAAACCGAATTACGTATTATTGAGGGTTTGTCATCCTAAACTGACCAAGTGACCAAAACTGGGATAGTGACGGTTCCAGCTGGAGTTTAAAGGGGCCAACATGGCGCACTGATATAGTCCAACCCACAGGGTGAACCAGGCTGAGACGTCTCCCTCAACAACGTCTGTTCTCTTTTAAAATGTATATTTTCAAATATCAATATAATATTGACACGATAAGTATGCTTAAGTTGATTTAAAGTGATTTAGAGGGTTAATAAATCACACTAGACTCCAGCTTTGAATCTTTAAAAGGGGCATCTTGCCAGGGTTGAGGCAGAATTTGGGGAAAATCTGATCTTTTAGCAATACAACTTACTTCTGCATAAGATAAACTATATCTCAAAGTTTAATGTTGCTCTGACTTTAAATGCAACATTAATGTTAGATGCTAAAAAATATGTTAGATCTCTTTTGGTAATAGGTTTGATTATTGCCAGTTAATTTACAATTAAGGGGCCCTGCTACAAAAGGTCTAACTTTACTTTATTATCTTTGATGATAATATTTATTACAAAATAATTTCAAATCAGCTGGGATGTTTAGCCAACAGTAGCAAAGAATTCAAGCTAGCTTGCTAGTGCAACAACAACGTTGTTAGCTAAAGCTAAAGTCAGCTAGTTAGCCTTTCAGAAAGATAATAATCCGTTTTTTAATGCTGATTAGCTTTTATGTTCCTATACTAGATGAGAGTGTATGTAATTTATCAGAAACCTAACATTAGTAAGGCTGGAGTTTTATAAATCCTAGATGTCCATGGGGGGCTCCTTACCCCATGTCAGTGGGTATGAAGCCTTCCCTCCAAAAAGCTACGCTAACATTTTCACATATTACAGGAAATGTTTTTGTCATATTTTAAACTAATGTATAGTCATTCACATGACTCTTCTGTCAACAATAAAGAAACGTTTCTATATTCTTATAAAAAAAACCAGAGAGGCTTATTTTGTTGTGTGGGGGTGTCCCGTTTGACCCTGTGATAGACGTGCAGGTGCTACACAGGTGTAAACTTTTAAGGTAATTAATTGAGAAGACATTAAAAATGCACTAATACCTTTACTGATACTTATCAGCTGGATTACGTTTAAAATTAAGTTTTTCAACCTTGACTGGTACAAATAATATGCCAAGATACTAGCTATTTTGATTTCTTGCGTGTCTTGGTTGTCTTCGTACTTCCATCTGACCACCTGTTCAAAAAACCCATTAAGAATACATTAATTACTACCAAGATAGGAAAATCAGATTAAAACAACATTGAAAAGCATTGAATCTATGCCGATGACAGTCATTAGAACCAAACTGAAAGCGCTCGTTATGATTAATGTTGAATGGATGTCAGATTTTAACCCTTAAGTGACACTGAGTCAATATTGATTCAGCCATCATCTAAAAAGTCAGTCAGAACTACATTTTGACGGAATAAATATTATGATGCTGGTGAAATTATTCAACCACAATTATGTAAAAGACAGTCAATATCAAAATGTTAGAATTAAAATATTAAAAGTATTTAAGCATTTGGTGCTTCATTTATAATTTATGAGACGCCTCTCGCTCCAGAAATGGCCCCACCCAGTAACTAAATACATGTAATGAAATGATGAATATATTTAATGACCCTTTTACAGGTTTTAAACTATTTAAAGGTTGAGTCACCATTGATTTTTAACCTTTACCCAAAATCAGCCACTGTGACTGTTAATCAATGTTGAGTTAAGAACTTTTGCTATCTCGGTAGTATAGTATGTAATAGCTTTTCAAAGTTATTAATTATGCTCAAACTTTACAGGTTATCATGTCACATTTGAAATTTTTGACTCAAGAACTCCTGGTTGCCCACCTGAGTTTATGAACATCCCAGTCCCAAAAGGTGACCCCATCTTTGACCCCACTGCGACTGGAGAGGTCCTGCTGCCCTTCCAGAGAGGACCATGGGACAAAGAGTCCGGACAGAGTCCCAGTAACCCTCGCACACAGGTTGTTGATTCTTATCCATATTAAATTAATGTTGCAGCTACCTTTGCAGCCTTTAAAACAACCAGTACTTGTGAGCTCTGCAAGTTAAGAGCAGGTCAGGCAGTTCTGAAGGCCAGTACATTGTGTTAAGCATCGTTTATTTGAAGTCAAACTACACGTCACATGCAGGTCAACCTGGTGACTTCATGGATAGACGGCAGCTCCATCTATGGCCCTTCCACTTCCTGGTCCGACGCCCTGAGAAGCTTCTCTGGAGGGCTCTTGACTTCAGGCTCTGAGTGGAACATGCCAACTCAGGGAGGAGGAAGCAATCTCATGTGGAGCGCTGCTGATCCCTCTACGGGAGAACACGGACCCCAAGGCCTTTATGGTGAGACATTTTACACTTTAAAACGGAGTTCCCACCAGCATCAAACACTGTTGACAAAGAATTCATTTTATTGTCAACTGCAAGTTTACCTCATCGGAGGCATTTTATAAACATGTCAGGGGAGCTGTTAGTCAGGGTTAGAAAGGAAGAAAAGCAATAAACTGACTGAAATGATGTTCACTTAAGGGACACTTCACTCAAAAACTCCAAAATACATTTCTCTTTAAATGTAGAGCAGGATGTCCACCCAAACAGCCAGGTGTGACTGAAGAAATATTGCTTGGATCTCATCCAACACAGCTGAGCTCAGTGACATTTAATGTATCGCCCCAAAGCCCACACACTCAGCAGTGATGTAGAATGACACTCAATCATTCACAGCAACATCTCCTCTTCTTAAAATTGTAATTTTCTGCAAAAGGAGGCCATTTTATTGAAAAACTGTTGTTCCTTTTGAGTTCTTCATACCTATTTTTTAGCATCACAAACTCCTTGTGATTGCACATGATACATGTTACAAAACCTTGATGAACTGTACTGTGTTATTAGTGAACTGAATCTTAAGACTGTCTGAAATCTGTTTTGTGTTTTTGCACCGTATGTTGCAACACCCACCCAATCAATACTGCAAGCTCCTGATAACAAACAACAAAGATTTCTTGCAAATATTGTTTCACCGAGGTCGGCCTCAATCAGTGTTGCAGTCTGTGAGGCTGAGTCAAGAGAGACCCAGCCTGACGTGGGCTATGACTCTTTAATTATTGTGTAAATGGTCTGTCACACTGACCGCAGTAAATCCCCTTCTCTATAGCAGCGAAGATGCCACACAGGTGTCATGAAACCAGTGTTTTGTTCCTTGTGTTGTTGAAGGTGTGTAGTTATTATCTGGGGCGGAGACGGTGGATATTCTCCCGTTGTCACCTCTCTGGTGTCACAACCTTAAAGACAAACAGCCAGATTATCATTCCATTAGTGGTCACAGATTCATC